TATGTTTTATTTTTAGAGAAGGCAGAGTCATTCAGACTCTGCCTTCTCGACAGACCTGTTTTCCACCTGAAGACGGCTGCTTGCGTTGTGGCCGAAACGACGTGAGAATGATTTTGTTATGTTTAATTTTTATTATTTTATTACTTCCCTTCTACGTGACTTTACCGAAAGAACCAAGAAGATACACTAACACATTCCATTAATAACGCTGCCTTACATATATAAACAGGCAACGTTTCAGGCGATGACCCTTCTTCACAGTTGGCGATAACAAGGGCTGGAGACTGCACTCTACACCAGGGGGTCCAGTGAAAATTAAAACATTTTAAACGTTTTCTGATGACCAGTTTTTAAATTGGCATATGAATCGTTCGCTAAACGTGGCTACTGAGTAACAAGACAGGCCCTTCAGTGATCAAAAAGTATCACTAAATTCCCTCTTTTGTATTAAAAGTTAAATAATAAGACGTTGCCGGCACATTGCATTGCGTTTTATGACATCGCATTCATGAAATTATTAATTACGTATACGAACCTTATGCCAGGACCCTGGGGTCTCATAAGCCCCCGGCTATCGAATAAACATTATATTATAATGTAAACAAACACTTTGCTCTTTTTCACCGAAGGGTTTTAAGGATGGTGGCAAGTATTGTCTTGTTAAACTATGCCTTTAAAACTGAAAACTACTTACCTGTCGTACCTCTATTTAAACACACTATCGAAACAATAATTTACACCCCTCTATCAATCATCGTGTTTCTCAGTGTGGATTTGTGAACACACTTCGTAAGCAGTACATAAAATAGTACGCGTTTTCAATGCGCTGTTCATATTGTAACAAGCGTTTATACCAATGTTACTCTGCAGACTAGTGGGTCGCCGCAACTCTTATGCGCATTGATACCAGCGGTATGTGGGGACTATGGCTTAACTGTCCATAAGCACAGATGCACACGGACAGATGCACAGATGCATTCGGACAAGATAAGTATTATCAAACAAGAGAAATTAACGGTGCAACGCATCTCATCTGTGAAATATCTGCAGGTAATAAGATTGTCATTGATTGCTTCTGGCTGCAGACGTTGGTAGGTCACAAATAATAATGAAGATAAGAGAGCAGTTTCACTGTATTATGCATACCGTGATGACAAATAAAGGACTTAAGTCGTGTAGGCAGTTTGAGCAGCTTTGGATAAGACTCATGATCCTGCCCATACCCGAGCGTGGAGTGCATTCGCTTGTTCAGCTCTTGTGCGCATTCGTCCTCGCTGTTTCGCTTGGACATGACATGACAACAGAATGATCCATGCCAAGTGGGTCGCGGCGTTTATGTGCGCGCCAAAAATAAATAAATTAATAACGTACTTCATTTGGGGCTTTCGTGACTGCAGGAATTACTCTTTGGTTCTTTCGGTAAAGTCACGTATAAAAAGAAACGTATTTAATTTATTATTTTCTCATTATACGTGACTTTACCGAAAGAACCAAAGAGTAAATAAATAACGATTTTGACTTCCGTTTATTCGGGACCCGGGGGTCCCGCCATGAGGTTCATTTGCTGTTTTGTAATATTTCGAGCATCTATATATATAAAATCGTTCATGTCTGTCTGTCTGTGTGTGTGTGTGTGGACTTTGGCCCATACGCACTTTCATTGGACGGCGGTTGCCCCTGGCAACGGCTAGCCACGCCTTCGCCGCTTTCATTGGACCTGGCAACGGCTAGCCACGCCTTCGCCAAGGGCTGCAGTTTCATTGGACGGCGGTTGCCCCTGCCAACGGCTAGCCACGCCTTCGCCACTTTCATAAGCTCCGTATTTAATTAAATAATAGCCATTACACAGTATTGTTGGAGCGCTAGGGGGGGGGGGAAGGAACGCCACCCGTACCCTGCCTCTTCCAAGCCGACAATTTTAGGCGAGGCCGCAGGCTTTGCACGCTACTAGGCCTCGACACCCACCACGCCACTCTGAGGTAAATTCATCAAAGTTTTTCCTACTCTTCACTACACCCCCACCACAATGTGTGCTATTAATATTACTTTTAAACCCAACGCGCCAACAATCGATTACTTTAATGTTCACTGTACAAATACTCATTAAGCTGGGTGAGCGTACTGCCAGTCTATCATGTACACTGTAGCCTGCTTATTAAGCTCGGTGAGCGTACTGCCACTCTATCATGTACACTCTAGCCTGCTTATGAAGCTGAGTGCGTGTACTGGCAGTCTATAATGTGGACTCTTGCCTGGTTATTATAATCGATTCTTTATATGTTCTTTGTACAAACAGTCATTAAGCTGCTTGAGCGACCCCAGTTCGATTCCAACTCACGCCCACCACCGCTGACGATTATTTGAAACGGACCTGGCCCTCCCCTAGGTCCACTCAGCCTCAAAAGCGTAACTGCTGTCGTGTGTGAACATCGTCACTGGGGAGACAAAGGCGGCGGGGCATCGTGGATCCAAGTCCCGGGCGAAGCCGGGTCATGTGTATGTGTGTTTGTGTTTATGTGTATGTCTGTGTGTCTCTATGTATGTGTGTATGTATGTGTATGTATGTGTTTGTGTGTATGTGTGTGTGTATGTATGTGGGTTTTCTTTTTATGTCTTTATGTGTATGTCTGCGTGTCTCTATGTATGTGTGTATGTACGTGTGTGCATGTGTTTGTGTGTATGTATGTGTGTGTCTATGTATGTGTGTGTCTATGTATGTGTGTGTATGTGTGTGTATGTATGTGTGTTATGTGTCTGTCTGTGTCTGCATGTATGTGTGTGTGTATTGTGTATGTGTTTGTGTGCATGTATGTGTGTGTTTGTGTGTATGTGTATGTCTGTGTGTATGTGTTTGTGTGTATGTATGTGTGTGTATGTGTTTGTATGTGTTTGTGTGTTTACGCTCGCATTACACAAATGTGTTGCTGGTCTAAGGCGTTCCTCGCACAGCATTGCCGCTTTATTATTTCAGTCGTTTACTGCCGTATGCACCCTGAAAGTCGTGTGTGTCTGCAGCAAGCGCGTGTATGTGTACCTATGGACGCGCGCGCGTGTGTTGTGTAGGGGGAACGGTAGTGTAGTGCTTAGCGTGCTGTCTGTGTCTGTGTGTGTGTGTGTCTGTCTGTGTCTGTCTGTGTGTGTCTGCGTGTGTCTGTGTGTGTGTCTGTGTGTGTGCGTGTGTGGTGTGTGGGGAGCGGTAGTGTAGTGCTTAGCGTGCTGTCTGTGTGTCTGTGTGTGTGTGTGTGTCTGTCTGTGTCTGTCTGTGTGTGTCTGCGTGTGTCTGTGTGTGTGTCTGTGCGTGTGTGGTGTGTGAGGAGCGGTGGGTGTAGTGCTTAACGCTACGCTGCGCTACCAACCCGGCGAACCCAGTTCCATTCCCGCTCACGGCCACCACCGGTGACGATTATTTGAACCTCCCCTAGGTCCACTCAGCCTCAAACGAGTAACTGGTGTGGCGTATTAACATCGGCACTTGGGAGACAAAGGCGGCTGGGCGTGGTAGATCCAAGTCCCGGGCGAAGCCGGGTCATGTGTATGTGTTTATGTGTATGTCTGTGTGTCTGTATGCATGTGTGTATGTATGTGTGTGTATGTGTTTGTGTGTATGTCTGTGTGTGTATGTATGTCGGTTTTGCCGCCGTGGTGGATCCAAGTCCCGGGCGAAGCCGGGTCATGTGTATGTGTTTATGTGTATGTCTGTGTGTCTGTATGCATGTGTGTATGTATGTGTGTGTATGTGTTTGTGTGTATGTCTGTGTGTGTATGTATGTCGGTTTTGCCGCCGTGGTGGATCCAAGTCCCGGGCGAAGCCGGGTCATGTGTATGTGTGTATGTGTTTATGTGTATGTCTGTGTGTCTGTATGCATGTGTGTATGTATGTGTGTGCATGTGTTTGTGTGTATGTGTGTGTGTATGTATGTGGGTTTTTTTGTATGTGTTTATGTGTATGTCTGCGTGCCTGTATGTATGTGTGTATGTACGTCTGTGGATGTGTTTGTGTGTATGTATGTGTGTGTCTATGTATGTGTGTGTATGTGTTTCTGTGTTTGTATGTGTGTCTATGTATGTGTGTGTATGTGTTTCTGTGTTTGTATGTGTGTGTATGTATGTGTGTTATGTGTCTGTCTGTGTGTCTGCATGTATGTGTGTGTGTATTGTGTATGTGTTTGTGTGTGTTTGTGTGTTTACGCTCGCATTACACAAATGTATAATGCGGGTCTAAGGCGTTCCTTACACAGCATTGCCGCTTTATTATTTCAGTCGTTTACTGCCGTATGCACCCTGAAAGTCGTGTGTGTCTGCAGCAAGCGCGTGTATGTGTACCTATGGACGCGCGCGCGTGTGTTGTGTAGGGGGAACGGTAGTGTAGTGCTTAGCGTGCTGCCTGTGTCTGTGTGTGTGTGTCTGTGTGTGTGTGTCTGTGTGTGTGTCTGTGTGTGTGTCTGTGTGTGTGTCTGTGTGTGTGCGTGTGTGGTGTGTGGGGAGCGGTAGTGTAGTGGTTAGCGTGCTGTCTGTGTGTGTTTCTGTCTGTGTGTGTCTGCGTGTGTCTGTGTGTGTGTCTGTGTGTGTGTCTGTGCGTGTGTGGTGTGTGAGGAGCGGTGGGTGTAGTGCTTAACGCTACGCTGCGCTACCAACCCGGCAAACCCAGTTCGATTCCCGCTCACGGCCACCACCGGTGACGATTATTTGAACCTCCCCTAGGTCGACTCTGCCTCAAACGAGTAACTTAACTACTGTAGCGTATTAACATCGCCACTGGGGAGACAAAGGCGGCCGGCCGTGGTAGATACAAGTCCCGGGCGAAGCCGGGTAGTACAGCTAGTTAAAACATACAATTACAGGTGGTAAAGTTTGGTCTTCATGGAAATAACAGGGCTTTGTTAAAAAAAAAACACCTCCATGGCGGGACAACGCTGCCCCTGAACTACAGCATTTCAAAGACACGCTGGAACCACGATCCTTGAGCATCCTCCCCATCACCGTCGCCCAGCTCTACTCACAGGCGAACTTGAGCGTGGCTTGTTGACTGGCAAGGGTGCCAAATCTGTTGGTGGCCAGGCACTGGAAGGTGCCCGCGTCCTGGTCCCTGTCGAGGTCCGAGATCACCAGGTTTCCGCCCTCCAGGCTGTATCTCTTATTCCACTTGACCTCCATGCCATTGTGACGCCATCTACGAAGCATTCGAAGAAAAGAAATATGAAAGTACGGCTCACGAAGACCGACAACTAGATTGTATGAATATACAGACCAGGGATTTTCAAGGTCCAGTATCTACCAATCAAACACCAGGCGCATGTAATATTTTAAAAGCTAGTCTACATTGAAATTGAGAAGACTGGTAAATGGTTAAGAGTTTGACAAGCCCTACAGTCGACCGTAGGACGACTGCTGTGCGAGTGACTGTTAAGGCCAAAATGACACAATCATGTGGTGTGGTTGGTATTATGGGTACACATCAGCCTTCAGGCCACTATTCCAAACGAGACTCGTGCTGGTCTCTTGAGTTCTTACCGGGTTACACAACACAAGCTTGAAACTTCATCTCTTGCACTGACAATTCACCCACTGCATCAGGAATGAATTTTAGGCTGAGCAGACCTAGTAATTGGCCCAGGATGCCAGCTTAATATTCAACCTGCCACTGTTACATGTGGCCAGAAATCAAACTCGGGTTTTCAAAAAAGGTAGTTGTGGTTGTGATGTCCAAACAATGAATCACTCCCAAGTATTGTTGAGTGTGGTTGAAATCCACACCTTTAATGGGAGGACACTCATATTGTATATGAAGCCATGCTATTCGTACGGCTGCAAATAACTTTAACCATAAGCGTGCAAGTTTATTTACGTGCAAAATACTCCAACGTAAGTGCGCATAATGATGAGCTGATATTTTACAAAAACCACCAACCCTATGTGCAAAACAGATGTATGCTCGCCAATTAGGGGTCCCCCTCTGAGCTGCTCGGGGGTGGGAGGGGGGGGCCCTAAAGTTTTGCTCGGTTTGCTTGGGCCTCAGCGCCGCGCCCGCCACCGCACGTGGCCCTCGGCAGTGCCCCACGTCCCCCACGGTACCTGTACGTAGCGGGTGGGTTTGACTTGGCAAGGCAGCGTAGGGTCACGGTTTTTTCCGGCGAATCCTCTGGATACAAAGTGTCGGTCGGCTCCTCAAATAATATGGGGCCAAACGGACCGATTTCTGCGACTGCACACACGCACAAAGGGTACACGGAGTCACCTCGTTAATAACCGTGCTTTTAGCCGGTTCCTACCTTCACAGCGATGTACTCACAGCCACGACCACACAAAGAGGGGGTTCTTGTGTGGCCAGCACCATGCCCATCTACCTACGTCTCCCCAAGTGCCGATGTGTTTTACACATTCCACCCAGGCACTCATTTGTGGCCGAGTCAACTTCAAGAGAGGCTCAGAGGATGATGATTTGCACTCGTAGCATGCATAAAATTATTCAGCACCCCGAAGCACCTTACATCACACATCTCATCTCAACCATTGAAATGTCCTACTGCAGCATTCATGACAGATGCAGGTATCAATAACCACTGATGTGCACGCCTGGTTATGAAAACTCATCTTCACTAGGATTGGATCAGAGTGCGTTTAACCACTACACTAGGATTGGATCAGACTTTTGGGGTTAGTGCTGTTAGCGAGCACCTATGAAGGCCGGCACAGCACACAAGGGGGTGGTTGACCAGCACTATGGCCGACCGTCTTCATCTCCCCAATGCTGACATCTACACACCGCTGGTTCAACTAATCGTCAACGGTGTTGGCCGTGAGCGCGAATTGAACTCGGGTCGTTGGGTTCGCAGCGCAGCACGCTAACTGCTACTCGACCGCTCCTCACCATACCCTGAAATACACGCACATGTACTGTACGTGCGCACGGACACACACATTTTCCTGCAGACCCTTAAATGTTAATGTTTATTTTGAATGTGTACTTTGCTCTATCATATAAGCTATGGCTCTAATTTCCAGAAATAAATATCGAAGAAGGATAATGCACAAATAGACACACACGAACAAGTGCACAACAATCCGCTTGTCTTTTGCGCGATTTTTCCAGTGAATTTGGCAAGGAAGCAAATGTTATTGCATGCTCAGATAGTGAGAAGTTAAAGATATAATTAATAGCACCAGGGGCGCATATATAGCCGTACATGTATAATCAATAAGAATAATATTTTTTTCGATATTCCTACATCTGTTAAATCATAAGAAGCACATTTGTAAAATAATGTAACACTTAGGCTTTAGCAACCAATATAATTCACGATCAAGTGTTTGGGTTAGATCTCGCAAATGTTAAAACGTGTCGTACACCCATCTCCACCCGACGCAGCCAATTAGTAAGGTTTTTTACGTGAACAAAACGTGGAAATGTGCGACTCCTTTGGCACCACCGTGTGCGAGAAAGAGCAAAGCCACAAGGCTTACGACTGAGTCCGACATTTCACCGGCGATTACAACCAGTACAATCAGGGGATCGCCACATATTATGGTATTGCGCAAGCAAACAAAATAATAATATCCATGCAGTCTGTTTAGCCTCGTGGATTGCATGAGTGAGGTTGGTGTTCGTGTGTATATTAAGATTCGGCACAGCACAATTGAAGGCTGTATGATGAACGCCATGCCCACAACCATTTTGCCACAGCTGACGTTAACAACACCGCTGCAACAGATACTATTCTTGTTCTCTTCTCGAAAATAATCCCAGACCAGATGGCCACTACCATATGCAACTGAATCTGGGTCAAACCAAGGTTGCTGCAATGATAGCGCTGTGCATGGACAACTATGACACTGCTACCCACATGTACGTACACACACGCGCACACCTTAATATACAGAGCATTCACGGACAGAAAGCTGCATAGACATTTCATTGAAAACTGGTCAACCGCTCAAAACATCTGCATTTAAATTAAACGTGGACATCCCTTACCCTGCTGTCTGTGGGAACGTCAATCCTGGTCCAATTAGTATGTGAGCGGGCGCCTTCGTAAGACCAAGGCAATTAATCAAATTCAGCGGTAATCAGGCAAAGGCATTCCCTATTTATCACTCCGTAGCAGAAACACCAACGGACACGGTCTGTACGACCTAATTGGATGAGTTAGATGCTATTAACATCCTGGCCAGGTGCAGCCTTGCTTTTGTATTGAATTTGTTAGCCAGGTAGGACACACAAAACAAATTTAATTTACGAGTATCGAGTGGCTATGTCCAACAAAGTGAAGGTGCTGTAGTGAAGTGGTAGATGCAAGTTAGGGAGAAAGGTGAATGAAAGGATGCATTGGAAGATGTATTATAAAATGCTACAGTGTAGTAAGAATGGCATTGAAGACATCGAATGGGAAGGCAGTTGGGTCATAGGCAGAGGAAAAAATGGAGGTCTTGAGCAAGACTTGCACAGATGGATGGCATCAGAAATATGGGCAACAAGGTGGATTGAATTCCAGACAACACAGGCAGCAGAGCAAGAGGAGCAACCATCCAGTGCACAGAGGTTGCCTGGTGGTGTCAATACAAGTCCTTGGATAATGGGGGCTGAGAGTATAAGTGGGGAGAGGTGAGGTGGGGGACCAGTCAATACATGATTTCATCACGTGAAATCCAGACTGAGCTTACGCAACTCAGCCATCCCAAATCCCTCATCCGTGAACTCCAGCTGACCTAGATACCCTCAAGCTGATCTAGAACTCCAGCTGATCTCGAATGCTGCTGCCAGACTCCTCACCCTCACCCGTAAATGAGACATTACCCCAATACTCCAATCACTCCCCAGGCGCCCAATCCAAAGCCGGATCAATTTCAACATCACCCCCACTATCTTCAAGATCCTCTCCATGGACTTCCCCCCTGCCTACACCTCTCCCCTCTCCCCAAATGCATTCTCCACTCCAGCAAACAAGACGTTGAAGCCCCCTGTCAACCTGCGCTCATTGAGAGGTCGCTCGCTTGTCTCCTCATTCCATCCAGCCATCTGTGCTGTCGACTCCCTGGCCTTGTTCAAGCCCAGGCTCAAGCCTTTCCTTTTAATTTCTTGGCCTACAGCCCGACTGCCTTTTGCTAAATAAATACGCCCAGTGTGTCAATACACTGGCTTGAGATCCGGGTGCATAGTCACTGCATAATTCAAAATGTTAAATCACACTATTCAGTCCCTCCAGAAAAACGCGATTATGCGATCGCATGATTCCATGCAAAATCAGCCAAAGTCCGCATATTTATGCGGGGGGCGCGTTTTTTCAAATACGCCGCACTTTCGCCGCATAAATTGCAGATTTCCGCGCGCAAAATATGCGGGCTTGCATGATTTCATAATCCCCGCATTTTCGTTGCAAAAAGTCACATAGATCTTAGCAGAAAGTTGAAAAATGTTGCGTTTACTTCACACAAGCGCAGCCATTTCCCCTGTTGCCATGGGAACGTTATGAAGTGACGTCACTCATTACGCGTTAAGGTCTGAAATAAAACAAGATGAGAACTTAAATATTCCCAGCACTTTCTGTGATGTAGTATGCTTGCTTATCATAGGAAGTAATAAGAAATGACTCTTTACATTAAAGTAGTAGCCTAGTGAATAGGGTGTTGTGGGAATCACTTTTTTTTCTCTTTTTCATCAAACCGCAGTTTTTGCAAGTTCCCGCAATTTAATCGCATAAAATTGCATAAATATCCCGCATATTCCATCGCATTTTTTAAGAAAACGTGCCGCATAATCAACGATTTTTGCCCGCAACAATCACCAAAAAACTCCGCGTTTTTCTGGAGGGACTGACTATTAAAAACAATCTATGAGTTTCCTGGCTGGGTTCTGGCTGGGCACCTCTCCACCCCAACAATACTATTGTTCGTGGCTGCAGGCGGTTGCCACCGAAACTCCACTGGGTAACTGGCCAATTGGGATTTTCCATGGAACAAATAAACATTCAGTGGAAACGGTGGAAGAAGAAGTTCGGAAGACGTGTAATTGATAGCGACACCAAAGGAGGCGTAACAAACTACAAATGACTGACACGGTTCACTCTGTCCTGGTACAAATCTAATAATTTTAACAGAATGTTCTATGAAGAATAAAGAAAACTCATATAAAATATTGATTTACTTTTACCGCTCCGAGTACAGGATTGTGAGAAGAGTATGCAAACGAAAGCTACCATAACTTTTTGTGTTGTAGAGAAACGGGTTCGCTACTTGTTATAAATATTTATCTTATTTTAAATTGAAAACACTTAGAAATCCATTATTATACAAGGAAATGAGTAGGAGGATCTGGGGATGTGGTAATACTTGCTGGTATGGGTGTTAAGTGAAACACGAGTATACTTGATTTAAATAGCCCAACAGGAATCCGATACACCCGGGAGGATACATAGCAAGACTGAACGAATGCCAATTAGCTCATGGGTAATACAATTCAAAATATATTCACGAAGGAAATGTCAATGAAGTCAAGGTAAAGGGTGCTAACTACTGCATCACGACTCTCCACATAGTGGCACAGGTCGTGTATGCAACCTGTTACAATCTCGACGACCGTGGTTCAATTCCTGATCACGGACACAAACTTAAATACCACTGATATCCTGTATAGACACTAACATATGCCATATCTACGTATGGAAGCAAGAAGCACACTCCAGAATGGACAAGAATAATTGCTCACATGCGTCTGGCCATGCACACAGATGGCATATCTTTATCCAGCAGCAGCAGCAGCAGCAACTCACGGTGAGAGATTACGTAGGAGGGCCAAATCGATTGTTGAACGAAGGTGAGAGGAAGGCTTTGGCAGAGGGTGTTCAGTGCCCATCACTTGACGGAGACTAAACACAGGGCTGTGCAATTGGAAGAGGCCGATGCAGAACAACCGGGCTGATCCATCAGCTTGAATTACGTGCGAGCATGTCAGAACAAATGCACCGCAGATGCGGCTGTGTAAGTGTGCATCGGCAGGTCAAGGGCACTAAAATCCAGAGGCTGGATTCTTAGTACCAGCCAGCGGCATCAGAGAGCCCACACTTCCTGCCTTCTGTTCGATCCCACTAATGATGCATGGGCAACACCTGACCTCCAAGAACCCCTTTTAAGGTCTCATCACCACTGCCTGCATTCACATTCGTCACAGACATGTGGGTGCCACTCCTGGGGTGCCGCTTGAGGCGAGAT